AGCTTCTCACCCTATCTCAAAGGGAGAGTCAAGAAACCCTGCGAAGGAAACTCATTTCATATCTTTGTATGCTTTTTTAAAATAAATACATTTTCAACAATAAACATTAGAAAAAAATAGAAAATAACACAATTACTGATTTGAACCTTTTCCAGGTTTTATCGAATGCCCTTTGAAACTTTGATTTGATCATCTTTGTTTACTTTGTTTATCTTAGCCAAAGAAAACAAGGCGAGAGACTGTTTTTAGATTTATTTTGTGCACTGGATAAAGTATTAAAGACTTGTACCGAGATAGATTTATTAAAACTATTGCTATAAAACTGACGCAAGAAAATTATACAAATCCGGGATGTTTGGCTGTTTTAGTCTTTCAGTGTCTTTATGAAGTTCAGAGAGATTGTTCCTTCTTGTGTTTCTGAGGTACAAAAAACACATTTTGTTAATAATTAACTGGCCATAATACAAAATGAATAAAGAAGGCTTGCTTTAACACAGAAACCACAAATTGTTCTGCAAAGACTCAGATTGAAGATGGCAGGAATTTTTCTCTCATTGCTGCTAATCTGTTCAGTTTTCACAGCTCAGCTTCAAGCGGATTCTGGCAGTAAAGATAGTACAGATTTAAAACAAACTGAGTCACAGGTAGGAGATGCAGGAAATCTTGTTGAGCACCAACAAACATGTAAACAAGACATCATTGCTGTGCTGAGAGAGATGAGCTCCTCGTTGGCTGGACTGAAGGTGGAGGTGAGGTATTACAGAGAGACAATGAAGGTATGATTTCATGTGATCAAAAAAGGAGAATGATATAACAATTTGTTGCTTTTAACAACTCAAACATTTCCAGTATTCATTAAAATTTCTTGCATTGAACTGTTGAATTGTTAACTTTCTTTTTGTTGTATCTATCATAGCCCAAACAAACAAGGCAAAAGAATTAGAGTATAATGTATATCTGTATATTTCGTCCATTATCAATTAATTATTGCCAGAAACGTTTTTTCCCCTCAGAAACACGTGTAGAAAGAATCTTTCAATATGTATGGGGCCATTAAAAGACTGACACCAAACATCCTTGTTTTCAAAACAATTTAAAACCTAGTTTAAGCTTTATGGACAGTTGCTAATTGTGCGCCAAGTTATGGCATCGTTGTTGTTTAAGCTGCCATTAAAGAAAACAAATATTATAATTGGAAATGATTAAAATATTTTAAGAGACTCAGATTTCTAACATTTTTTTACACAGTAAAAGCCTCAAAACAAAAAACAATAGGTTGTTTTCTAGGCTTGGACTGATAACACTTATTTTTCTTTTGTGTTTCCACAATAACAGCTTTAAATCAGTAGGTTCGTATGTAGTTCTGAAATGATAAAACACCTTTTACCACAAAGTAAGATTAGACAGGTGATTAAAAAAGGTTTTCTCTGTGCTATATCAGTAATTCACAAATGATTAAAACAAGTGGAATCTGAAGAACCAGAACACTCACAACATTCACATGTGACTTTTACGCCAACCCTTATTTTCACCTATTAACAAAAATCTTCTATAAAAGTACAAATGTCAAACCAAACAGCACTTTGATCTCTGTTTATATATCTTATATTGTCCAAAAAGCAAAGTTCACTGCTTAGAGTTTGAAACTGTAGGAAGAGCTCCAAACCACAGACTCCTAAAAAGATAAAATACAGATTTTAAATCAAACACTGAGAAAGACGCAAAGTCAGTATTAAGCTGTGAGAAGGAGGACTGATGCGTTTTGTACAAACTGCAGCCAACAAGTGACAATACTGAAACATAGTAAATACTTCCACTAGAGAGTGCTGTTTCTCTGAAGTTCTTTGCACATGTTGAGATTTTAAGGTGACAAATAAATGTGATTCTTTTGTCATTAAACTTTTTTTAATAAGGAGAATGTGTACATGAGAATGTGTTTTATGTACAAGGAGATGTACATAAGGAGTTTTCTGTCCTTCTGTCCAGCTCCTGGTAAAGTTAGGTGATTGTCAGCTGATCCTCCTCTGAGGCTTTTCCAACGGCAATTACTTTTATGATTTTGTTTTTCTTTTCCCAGTTTTTGTGGTTAATATGAGGTGGGAATGCTCTGTTCATTTCGTGCTCAAAACACCATGAAGATAAATAGGGTTGAGATGTCCTGCTTTCCCGTCTGGGTTATGTCAGGTCCAGGAGCTGATGTGTGATGTCTTTACATCTGGTTGATGACAGAGGGACTTTAGCTTTAGGCCTTAGCTTTAACGTTGGTTTTAGCTTAGGTATAACAAGAGAAGTGGGGTGCTATTTCTTTAGTTTAATTTATTTAAACTTTTAGATTTAGCTTTTGTTTGTTATTTTTGTTGAAATTTTTTTGTTTTGTCTCTTTTCATTGCACAAGCCAGCTCATGCCAGTAATCCATACATTTGAGTTCATGCCTTATGGGCTCTGTGGTTTTTGACTAAAGTGATTTTAAAACTTTCATTTTATGTTTTTTTTTCTCTTTCTTTTTTAGCTGCTTACTTTTCTGGGGTTGCAGAGTTTACCTTATGTATGCTCTGGTATTTTTTAGAGTTTGATTTTTGTTTTTATGATTTCGAATTGTTTGGGGTGGAATAAAGTTTACCTGAATGAGGTGGAAACTGAATTTTGTACATTTTATTGACATTTCCACAATTATTCATGAAGTTTTATTGTCTTCGTTTATCATTTGCTTTTGAACTTGTCCAATCTCTTTGCTAGAAGTAAATGCCTTCCGCATTTCTTCAACTTGCCTTGTCCTAATTTGCACTGCTTAAGTTTCATTTATTGACAACTAGTTGTTATTAAGTTAACACATTATCCAAGATAAGATTCTGAGGGCACATACTCGGCTAATGCTATCATATTTGAGGGGGGCAGAACTTGTGTTTGTGATACCTTGTTAAATTTTGGACTCTTAAGTTTTTTTAATTTTGACATGTTTGTATTTTTTGACTCTGTTTGCACTGTTTTACATTGCACTTGTTCCTTTTCCATTGGTGTTTATGCAGTTATGTTACTTATAGATATGCAAATGTTTCTTCCATATTTTTACTGATTAATGGATAATCAGGAGGAGGGACTGTGATGGAAGAATATCTTGTGACTCCCTAACTGCATCTTACCTTGACATGTCCTGTTCTGTATCCCTTGATAACTGCCATTATATAATCTGTTTCTCGTGATTCTTAAGATACTGTATGTACTCATGTAATCTCATGGCCTATTTATTTGTGACTATCTCATTGGTTCCTGTATATCTCTGACGCTCTTATTTTGTTAGCAGGATGTACATATTGTCTGTTTCCTGTTTCCAGGTCAGCGTGAGCTTGACAGACGTTTCGATTCACATCTGTCCAGCTCTGCTCATTCCTTGCACATGCATCTTTCTATTAAATAATCTGAGACCGAGACCACACCGTTTCCACTTTGTTTATTTCCCCTCATCTCTGCCCTGGCGAAACAGTGCCACGACAATAAACATTTTTTTTTAATTTAATCATTTTTTAAATCAAATAATGGTTTAATAAGCAGCAATAACATGTCCCAAACAGGGAGCTTACACCAAGAGTGATTATTTCTATCTGTCCTTTATACAGTTTGGAGAAAAAGAGAAATCCACACGAAAACGTAAGACTACAACCAAATAAACAATGTCTCCTGTTTCGTAAGGAGCAAAATTATTAAAGGGGAAAAGAAAAGAATGATAAAAAAAACAACAGAGACAATAAACAAATGATCTTACTTGCTCTGATCTGTAACTTTTGCACAGATTATACCTTGAAACAGTTGTTTGTCTGCATCTCATGTTTCCTTCACCTTAGCTGTTCGATAAATGAAAACGTTCTGAAATGATTGTACATAACATAGAAACACTTTATACAAAGCAGCAATGCTGTCTTGGTAAACATACCTTCATTGTCTCTCTGTAAGTACGTCACCTCCATCTTCAGTCCAGCCAATGAGCTCATCTCTCTTAGCACAGCACTGATGTCTTGTGTTTGTTGGTGCTCAACGGCATTTCTTGCATCTCCTAACTGAGACTCAGTTTGTTTTAAATTTTAATTATTACCTGAATGTTTTATTAACTCAGAAACACATGAAGCAACCATCTCTCTGAACTTTAAAAACGCACTGAAACAGCCAAACATCCCAGGTTTGTGTCATTTTGTTGTGTCTGTTTTGCAACAATAATTTTAATATATTTATATCAGTACAAGTCTTTAATGCTTTGTCCAGTGCACAAAATAAGTCTAAAAACAGTAGCAGAAAGTAAACAAAGGTGATCAAATCAAAGGTTCAAAGGACTTTTGAGGAAACCTGGAAAAGGTTGTGTAGTTCAAAGCAGTAATTCTTTGTGTTATTTCTTCCTTTTTTCTAATGTTTACTGTGGAAATTGTGTTTATTTAAAAAAACGTATGATGATGTCTTAGTTTTTATTTATTTATTTTTTATTTATTATTCATAGAGTGGAAAATGCAATAGTAACATGTTGAAGTTTGTTTAGATGCATTTCAGATCACATAGTTTCAGTTTTCTCAGTGTTCCAAAGTTTTGCACTAATTGTTACATAAACTTGAAAACAAGGCAGAAACAAGTTTYTATGTTTCGAACATAATCACATACAGAGGGTTCTTTCATTGTGATTTCAGCAAAGTTTTTTCCTCCATCTTTACTGCTGTAAGTCAGTTTACTGTCATGTTCAGTGGGAACCTTAGCTAAAACAAATTAGAAAGCACAACTAAATTGTTGGAAAGTATGGAAGTGGGTTTTCTGTTTATCAGAAAGCACAAGCAGACTATCAGTTTTCATTTATTTTTATAAGCTGGTTTAAAAATATATGGAACAAAAAGTCCGAAAAGCATGATTTCTRTAGATTTTTGTGGACATTCACTGATACAAATCAAAATGTTATAAACTTCTTCTATTTTTCTTCAATTATGCTGATTTTGCAAATCACATTTATACAAACTGTACATTACTGTTTATATTCTCTAACACATTATTGTGGTGTTTAGGTGACTAAATGAAACAGAAACAAGGACTGTTTGCTGCTCACATGGTGAAAAGCAGATGACCACTGAAGGTTGTAGGATGATTCTCATCATCATGAATCCATGTATTTTCCCACAGATGCAAAAGCACAACGTCTCCAATCTCCAACAGCAGAGTGACACCATTTGCAGCAGTAGAAGAATGTGAAAGTTGATGTTCATGTGCAAGAAAAATATGTTCTCCATTCTTTAACAAAACAGCAGCAGAAGGATAGGTGGAATGTCCAGCTCCAAATATGTAGAACTCAAAGTGATAGGCTCCTTTTACTGGTGCTATGAAGAGCCCTGTGAACCATATTATTAATATATACAGTACTATAAATATTGTATTGTATTTGATATTGTATTATGTTTAAATAAAACGTCTAAAACCATACTTACTGTGTGTAAAAACAAGGGATAAAATGTTTGAATAAATATGCAAACTTGAGTACCTGTATTTGGGTTGTAGGCATTTCCAATATTTGTAACAACATGTTTGAAGACCAGAGGTGTTTTTGCATTAATTGGTCCAATATTTTCTGAGCCTGAGGCCAACAGAGATGCTGAGAAAGCCACTTGTTTCACTGAGAAACAGGAAGTTATTATTAAGAACAGCAATTGTTTCCTCATATTAATTATTTGTAATTTTAAAAAGCACAAGTTACAATGACACAATATGGGTGAATAGACTACATATAAAAATTCTATTGTATTTTTTAATTGTTTGTATACTTTTTAATATGATTAAATATACAGATAGTACCTTGGTGTTGCTGGTTTTGCAGCTCCAGTTCTTCTGCTTTAACTGTTGGTATAAATAAAGGAAAGAACGGATTTTAAAAATCAAAGTTTTTCACATTTAAACACTTCTATGTACTTCTAGTGATCTCATTTAAACACTGATCACAGCAATTTGTCACTACAGATTATACAGAATATAATTTTGTTGCTGCAATGCAATATACTTGTAAATAATTCATACCAAACTGAATTTACTTTTGAAAAAAAAAAAGGTCACAATTGACTAATGTTGGTATAGGATGCTCAATTAGTTATTATTGTTATTATTGTTGTTATTGTTATTATTAGTTATTACCCTGGTTACACTATATTTTATAATAATTCAATTCACACAGAATCCCTTGGTGCTGTTGTTTTATCTTGTTCAACTAATTCTTCTGCAACTCCAGTTCTTCTGTCTTAGCTGTTTGTGTAAATAAAGAACAGATTGAATTTTATTATTTTTCACATTTAAACTCTTCTGTGGTTTAAACAATTCTTTGTCATACTGGATTTTGTTCAACCTTTTGTATTAAGAGCATGTTATCAARGTTCGTATTTTGGTTTTAACCAAAATAATGTTTAATATGCATCTGTTAGTTTTATAACATGTCCAAACTTATGTGCTCACACTAAAACTGATTCTTTCATGTGACCTTTATACATTTGAGAAAAAAACAGGATTTCATATAAAGACAAAAGTCTGAAACAAAACAAAATGGTATATTTATTCTGTTCAGAAAATACTGTACATAATGACAAGTAAAAAAGGAAAAGATTGATTAAAAAAACAAGAGACATTAAACAGATGTTGTTTTTAAGATGATGCTCTTACTTGCTCTGACCCAAACTTTTGTCATTTTATTTTTTTACGCAGATTATACCTTGAAACTGTTGTTTCAACATCTCCAGTTCTTTCTCCTTAGCTGTACAAATACAAGAAAACATATCGAAATGATTATACATAAGATATAAAACTTTATATAAAGCAGTGATTTCCATTCTGTATGTCTCATGTTAAACATACCAACGAAACTAAAATATTTATTCTGGACAGAAACGAGTATACATAAGGACAAGTAAAAAAAGATTAATAATAAAAGGTATTACACAAATGTTTTTTAAAAAATATGTTCTTGCTCTGATCTGTAACTTTTACACATAATTTTGCAGTTTTTATTCACATTGAATCGGTTGTTTCAGAATCTCAGATTCTTTCACCATAGCTGTTTAGATCAATACATAATCTGAATTGACTCTACATTACATACAGTATAAACACCATACAACACTATACTGTATGTCTCTTGGTAAACATATCATCTGTAACTTCTACACACATTTGTCATTTGTTTACACAGACCTTGAAACTGTTGTTTCAGCATATCCAGTTCTTTCTCCTTAGCTGTACAAACATAGAAAAAAAGATTGAAATGATTGTACGTTACATACAAAAATGTATATAAAGCACTGATTTCCATTCTGTATGTCTCATGTTAAACATACCGTCATTGTCTTTCTGTAAGTACCTCACCTCCACCTTCAGTCCAGCCAATGAAGAGCTCATCTCTCTCAGCACAGCATTGATGTCTTGTTTACATGTTTGTTGGTRCTCAGAGAGGTTTCCTGTACCTCCTACCTGTGACTCAATTTGTTTTAAATCTGTACTATCTTTACTGCCAGAATCTGCTTGAAGCTGAGCTGTGAAAACAGAGCAKATTAGCAGCATCAAGGGAAAAACCACTGTCATCTTCATTCTGAGTCTCTGCAGAACAATTTGTGGTTTCTGTGCAAGCCTTAAATACTGTTCCTACTATCACCAGTTAATTATTACTTGGATGTTTTTTTTTTCTCAGAAACATATAAGGCAACAATCTCTCTGAACTTTACAAAGCCACTGAAAGACTGGAACAGCAAAACATCAGATATTTGTATACATTTCTTGTGCCAATATAAAATCAGTCATAATAGAAAACAAAATGCTTAGAGTCCTTTTTTAAAAAAATATATATATCACTAAAAGTTACTTTGGAAACCCTCAATTTTGTTTCTTCAGCTCAGAATTTTGTAACTTTAGTGTTTTCACTTTGACTGATCTTCACCGCCAACTGCAGCCCCACCTGAGCTCTGATCGCCAGCTGCAGTCCCCGAGCTCTCATCGCCGGCCCTTCCAGAGTCTCCTCTGCCGGCCCTTCCAAACTCTCCCCTGCCGGCCCTTCCAGAGTCCCCACTGTCTTTTCAGCGGCCGGGCTCAGGGCCGTCCACCTAAGATCCATCTCCTCCGCGGCTGTATCCTGGGCCACCCTCCAGAGCTCCGCCCCTGAGACGGCCGGGTCCACGGCCATCATGCTGAGCTCCGCCTCTGCTGCGGCTGGGTCCACAGTTGCTCCGCCTCTGCTGCGGCCACGCCCACGACCGATCTCCTGAGTTCCTTCCTCATCTGTGTTGGATCCCTGGGCACCTACCTGAACTTTCTGCCCTCTTCGGATGTGCCTAGGGCCATCTCAGTGATTGTTTTGTTTTGTTTGTTTCCCAGGACTTACCTGTCGGTTTTTGTTTTAGTTTTTTGTATTTCTTTGTGTCTTCTGTTTTTTGTGTCTTGTGTTCCCTGTGGTCTTTGTCTCGTGCCCACCATCCTGTTATTATCTTCTTCCTTTCAGGGTCACGGTGTCACTGGTGCCCATATCCAGCCATCACAGTGCGAGGGGCAGGGTACACCCTGGACATGTCGCAAGTTTATCACAGAAAATATTCTAGTCGATTTCCAAGTGAAATTGTCAAAAGTGGGGGAAACCACAGTTAATAGGTGTATCTGAAGGGTTACCTAGCCTCTTGACCACTGGTAGGTCAGCTCCTTAGAGGAGGAAGGACGTGACATCCAGATGAAATGTGGTTCGCCCTGGACAAAATCTCCTCATCACTCACTTAAACAGACTAATTCCATCGATTGCAAGGTGAACCCCTTCTATTGTAAAGTTTTAGTCCTAGCCCATAAACGGAGAGTGAGTCAACAACATAAACAGGATAAAGGATAAAAAGGACCCCACTTGGAACAAAGAGGAGACCAAACCAGAGGTAATTACATCAAGAAGGGGAACAATACAGTCAGTATTTAAAGTGTAAGAAGCAAACATATTGTTTTTTTGATACTGGAGCAGACAATAATAATTCTGTACTTTTAAGCGACCTCCTGCACTGATTCCAGATTTTTATTGTGTGAGTTACAACCGGATTAGAAGTATAAGTTGAGATGGGTTGATTAAACGGTAACCGGGAGCAAAGCAAAGCAGAGAGAGAGCTCACTGTAACTGATTTCCTCTCTAGATTTACCCAAGTAGGAACAGGGTTGTCATCTTTCAACCAGTACAGTAAGGCTCTAATGTTGGCTGCCCAGTAATAATATAAAAAGTTGGGGAGTGACAAGCCACCAAGACCATGGGGTAACTGTAACATCTTACTGGCTATCCGTGGATGCTTTTTATTCCAAATAAAGGACGACAATTCACTATTTAATTTTGTAAAGAAAGTTCCGGTGAGGAACACTGGCACGCTCTGAAATAAATAAAGTGATTTGGGCAATATTGTCATTTTGATCACGTTGATTCTACCCCCCAAGGATAGAGGCAGTGAAGCCCATTTAGCGATGCCTTCTTAAGGTTCACCAGGAGGGGCAGAAAGTTTGCAGTATAGAGATCTTTGTGACTGTGAGTRATCCAAATACCAAGGTATTTAAATTTGGTTGAGCTAATTTTGAAAGGAACTGGACCCATATGTTGCTCTTCTATTGGAGTCACAGGCATCAATTCACTTTTTTGAAGGTTAACCTTATACCCAGATATGTTTCCGAACTTTTGAAGTAAAATAAGTAACTAAGGAACACTCGACAAGGGATCTGATATATAAAGAATAGTATCGTCAGCGTATAAGTAAACTTTCTGTTCAGTGCCAAACCGATTAATACCTTTAATCTTAGGGTTGTTCCGTAGAGCCGCTGCGAGTGGTTTAATCGCGAT